GACCTCGTGATCCACCCGCCTCAGCCTCCCAAAGTGCTGGGATTATAGCCGTGAGCCACTGCACCCGGCCGACTGTATTTGTTAATGGTGACAGTCTAAGGAGTGGGTTCCAAAGTCCAGCCTCCTCCCAGTCACAACTGGAATCTTTCCAGAACTGGCTTTTTAAGCCACAAATGCCACCCTTAGCGTGCTTGTTTTACAGATGAGGAAGTCAGAGTGGTGTTTGCACACTTCACTCAAGGGTGGGCCACTGGCCGGGGCAGACTCCTCCTGTGGCAGCATGGCCTTCACCAGCGTCCTGCTCAGGCCACTGAGGCGAAGTTGGGACAGGCTCCCCTGTGCATTCAAATGTGGAAGAACACCAACATGGAAGCTGAGTTTTCACTCATTTTTCTGAGATGAATGTAATTCAAACCTGAAAGCAGAGGCGTATGGTTCCTGAGTTGAAAACCAGACAGCTCTGGTTCTAGAATTTTTTTTTTGAAGCATAGTCTTGCTCTGTTGATCAGGCTGGAGTGCAGTAACGTGATCTCAGCTCACTGCAACCTTTGCCTCCCAGGTTCAAGTGATTCTCCCGCCTCAGCCTCCCGAGTAGCTTGGATTACAGGCTTGTGCCACTGTACCCAGCTAGTTTTTGTATTTTTAGTAAAGATGGGGCTTCACCATGTTGGCCAGGCTGGTTTCGACCTCCTGATCTCAGGTGATCTGCCGCCCTCAGCCTCCCAAAGTGCTGGGATTACAGGCATCGGCAACCACGCCCAGCCTAGAATTGTTTATTTTACTTGGCTTATTCATACGTATTTTCCTGTGGTCTTTTTGTTCCCCCTTCTTAGAATGTCTTCCCTCCCTCATTCCTTTCATTCTGGATCAAGGGAGGGGTGGTGGAAGAAGAAGGGGGCTTGCCCCTATCTTTCTTATGCAGTGGGAGGGAATGCAGGGCTGCCTTCCTGGGGGTGCATCCTGCAGGATGCCGAGGCCCTGCAGTGTCAAGGCCCCGAGCTTGGTTTGATTCTCTGTTGTCACCAAGGTGAAATGCTCAGTGATTGTTGGGCATGGGCTCTGCATTTTCATTTTGCACTGGGCTGGGCTCCTCTGCAAGTTACGTATCTAGTCTCTGAGGAGGTATTCGCCCTGAGAACGTACAAAACATTGTCCAGTGACTCTGCAAATTTCAGCTACACAGGCAGCCTTCTTTCACTTGCCCATGAGCAGGGCCTGTGAGTTCCTGAGTCTGGTTGCTTTGGGGATACTTTTCCCAAGAAGCCTAGGGCAGCGTGAGATTCCCACATTGACCGGCGTCGTGCTGACGAATTTGTGTTTTCTGGTGCCCCCTACAGGACCACTTGTCTTACTTCCACTTTGTGGGGCGGATCATGGGGCTGGCTGTGTTCCATGGGCACTACATCAACGGGGGCTTCACGGTGCCCTTCTATAAGCAGCTCCTGGGAAAGCCCATCCAGCTCTCGGATCTGGAATCCGTGGACCCGGAGCTGCATAAGAGCCTGGTGTGGATCCTGTAAGTATTGACTGATGGTGCACGGTCACCTGGCGTGGGGCACACCACCACCTCTGTTGTCTGTATGCATGTGTGTGCGTGTGTGTATTTTGGGGACGGGTGCGAAATTGAAGAGACACCAAGAAGCCATTGTATTATATAACCTGAAACAAAAAAGAAGGTTCTTTGGGAGGCCAGGGTAGGCAGATTGCTTGAGCCCAGGAGTTTGAGACCGGCCTGGGCAACATCATGAGACCCCACTACTGCAATAAATACAAAAAAACACCAGATCTAGCCAAAAATATATACTCAGTTGCCTTATTTTCCTCGTGATGTTGGGCCAGCTTCTCTTCAGGGACTAGATTCTTTTGTTTCCTTGAATTATGAAGGTAAGATCACGAACATTAACAGGCTACTCCCCAGGCCCAGTGTGGGGCGTGTGTGACACTCACAGGTGTCTCCAGTTAATCTACACAGGGGCCAAGCCTGTATCAAAACAAATTGAACATTTAGGTACCTCTGCATTAGAATTATTCTAGACATTCTGTTAAGGACAGCAGGCAATGACAAGATGAACTGTGAGTGTCACGGGTCTTGCAGATTTCATGGGGATAAAAGATCGGGCTCTGCTCCAGCAGACAGAAGGAATGTGGATGAGTTGGAGTAGGGGCCTCCTAGTTATGTCCCATGTTCCAACTTGAAGAGGGGACTCCAGGGACCAGGTAGAAAATCTTCCACTGAGAGTATTGGCTCGTTGCCTGTTATCCCAGCACTTTGGGAGGCCGAGGTGGGCAGATCACTTGCCCTTTCACTTGAGATCAGGAGTTCGAGACCAGCCTGGCCAACATGGTGAAACCCTGTGTCTACTAAAAACACACACACAAAAAAGCTGGGTGTGGCATGTGCCTGTAATCCCAGCTACTCAGGAGGCTGAGGCAGAACTGCTTGAACCCAGGAGGCAGAGGTTGCAGTGAGTTGAGATCGCACCACTGCACTCTAGCCTATATGACAAAGTGAGTCTCTGTCTCAAAAAGAAAAATCCAACCAACTCTCACTCTGCGTACGGCTCAAAAACCATGGCAGACTCAAGAGCTAATTTTCACTTTGAACTGCTTTTGCATTTGAACTGGTTTGGAAAGGCTGGCTCTAAGTGGGGGAAACATATATTTTCTTGGCGTGGCTTCATCTCCAGGTCAATTTCCTGCCTTCTATGCTGCCCGCCTTCTATGAGTGAGGAAGCCAGGAGTCGGGGACATCTGGAACCAGAACTGTGGTCTCTGGGTCCTCCAAGCACCATTTGCTGTGCCGCCCCCATATGGGTTCCGTGTCTACCTGCGGCTGTCCTCTCTCGCAGCCCGGGTCTGGGAGTCCTAAACGCCGTCTGTCTACCAGATGGCCCTACTTGATGTTCCTTTCATTGGCACGTGGTGGCTGAACTCTAACCGATGTCACCTTCTGTCTTCAACAGAGAGAATGACATCACACCGGTGCTGGACCACACCTTCTGCGTGGAACACAATGCCTTTGGGCGGATTCTTCAGCATGAACTGAAACCCAATGGCAGAAACGTGCCTGTCACAGAGGAGAACAAGAAAGAATATGTCAGGTAAGTCACCTGGGGGGCACAAGCAGGTACCTGGGGCACGGCTGAGTTTGCATTTAGTTGCTGTAGCTCATTCGCTGTGTGAGGCCTGCGTGTCCCTGATGGCTGGCTCCTGTGATCAGATCACAGGAACAGAAGCGACTTTCAGAAACCGACAGCTCAGCAGCCATGTCAGGGATCTGCTTGGAGGGGTCCTGATGGGGCCAGGCCTGCCTGAGGGACAGAGCCCACGTGGGGAAGGACTTTCAAGTGACCACCTAATTCTGGATGCAAAGCGGGGGGGGGGGCAAGGAGAGAGCAGCTACTTGGAGGGTCTTGTGATCAGTCTGAGGAAGCCACCCTGTCAGTCTTTTCCACCCCTAAGTTGAGACAAATCCATGTTCAGGCCTAGGCACTGGCAGCTGAGAAGTGTGTGGGCATGGCTGTGTGCCCGGCCGTACTGTGCTGTCCTTTCAAATGCACTTTTAAACATTTTTAAATGTTTAACATTTGATACAGGGTCTTGCCATGCTGCCAGGCTGGTCTCGGACCCCTGGCCTGAAGCGATCCTCTTGCTTTGGCCTCCCAAGGGGTTGAGATTACAGGTGTGAGCCACCATGCCTGGCCAGAACGTGCTTTCAAATCACAGCAACTGATGTGACAAGTCAGGTTCAATCCTGCTGTTTTCAGTAGCAAACCAGAATGAATCAGGGCACGTACTGAGTCATTTTTAACATGATGCCAAGGTTTGGTACTACTAGCTGGTGGAGTTTTTGTGTGTCTTGGTGGGGAGATCTAGAGGGGGCCCCCGATACGTTTCCATGTTTGTCAGACTGTGATATCAGAACCTGCTCAAGGGCTGGGTGTGGTGATTCATGCCTGTAATAGCACTTTCTTTGGGAGGTCAAGGCAGGCAGATCACCTGAGGTCAGGAGCTTGAGACCAGCCTGGCCAACATGGTGAAATCCCATTTCTACTAAAAATACAAAAATTAGCCAGGCATGGTGGCAGATGCCTGTAAGCCCAGCTACTAGGTAGGCTGAGGTAGAAGAACTGCTTGAACCCAGGAGGCGGAGGTTGCAGTGAGCCAGGATTGCGCCACTGTACTCCAGCCTGGGCGAAGTGAGACCTTGTCTCAAAAACAAAACAAAAAAACCAGAACGGAACCTGCCTATGGAAGAAAATCCACTTGGTGTTGCATTCAACTTGTGAGTCTTTCTTCCAGGTTGTATGTAAACTGGAGATTTATGAGAGGAATTGAAGCCCAGTTCTTAGCTCTGCAGAAGGGGTTCAATGAACTCATCCCTCAACACTTGCTGAAGCCTTTTGACCAGAAGGAACTGGAGGTATGTGCCTGCTGTGTGGAGTCCACCCAGGGCGCTCAGGGACTCCCCCGTGGCTGGCGTGTGTCTGTTTTAAATCCTTGATGCAGGGTGTAGCATGCGGTGTTTTCTAGAAAGCCCAGGAGTTGGGGTTCCCAGAGTAGAGTCAGCGGGAGCAACAGCGGGGAGTAGAGGGTGTTTATGTCAGTTGGTAACCAGTGAGATGTCTGCGTGGTGGTCGGAAATCTGAATAATTCCTGGGACGTTGTTCAAGGTGGTTGTGGCTTCTCTCGTTTCAGGATCTCTAGCAGGGAGATCACGTGGCCCTCTCCTTTCCTGGGAGAACCAGGTTCTCCCACAACTTACTGCCTTTGATTCTGGCTGTTACTAGACCAAGAACAAGGGGATACTGTCCTCTCCAGTCCTGCTCATGCGCTTGAACAGTGACTCATTCATCCCTTACTGTCTCTGGTGCGAAACAGCTCAAGCCTTGTAGATTGTTCTCCGAGTCTTTCTACTGCCAGTGAGGAGAGGCTGGGAGCCAAGAGCTTGGATGGGGCAGTAGTTCTGGGGTGAACTTTTTTGTCTTTTTTTTTCTAAAGAGAGTCTTGCTCTGTTGCCCAGTCTGGAGTGCAGTGGTGCAATCATGGCTCGCTGCAGCCTTGACCTCCCAGGCTGAAGCGATCCTCTCACCTCAGCCTCCTGAGTAGCTGCGGCTACAGGTACGTCACCATGCCTGGCTAATTTTTGTATTTGTTGTAGAGATAAGGGTTTCGCCATGTTGCCCAGCCTGGCCTTGAACTCCTGGGCTCAAGCGATCCACTCAACTTCAGCCCCCACAAAGTGCTGGGAATATAGTGGCGTGAGCCACTGCACCCAGCAGGGGGTGAACTTTTTAAGCAAGTTGCAGAAACACATCTGATCTACCCCAACCCCACGTAACTCTTGCTGAATTCTCCTTTCTTCAGACTTGAAACTTCACATGTCCTTGAGTGTCCTGGAGAGACCCTGGGATGTGCTCTTACTCACGGTTAGCTCTGTTCAGTGTCACTGGGTGGTTCTTTGATACTCACTCCTCACCAATGCAGAGCAGAAACCCTGCTTTGGTTATAAGATGATGTCCCATCAGTAGCTGTGCACCGTGGTCCTCGGGGTTGGAGGCCAGCCTGGAGGAGGCAGAGGGAAGCATGTACCACAGGTCTTCTGTTTATAGCTTTCTTCCTGTCTCAACTACTGTCTAGTTTCTTTGGACACAGCCACTGCTTTGTTTGGGAACCGACTTTTCACTTGTGTGTGTGTTGGGTACCTAGGAGGCGTGTACTGATGTGGGTTTATACATTTTGGGAGTAACTCACCTTTTGGCACCTCCTCAGCTGATCATAGGCGGCCTGGATAAAATAGACCTGAATGACTGGAAGTCGAACACGCGGCTAAAGCACTGTGTGGCCGACAGCAACATCGTCCGGTGGTTCTGGCAAGCGGTGGAGACGTTTGATGAAGAAAGGAGGGCCAGGCTGTTGCAGTTTGTGACTGGGTCCACGCGAGTTCCGCTCCAAGGCTTCAAGGCTTTGCAAGGTGACTGACGTGGAGGCGGGGCTATTTGATTATACGTCTCTGCGGGCTGTGGGCAGGAAGAGTGAAGGTGCTGGGATGTTTTCCCGAGACGTGTGCTAGAAAACGGCATAAGGAGCGTTCTCCAGTTATGAATGCTCTGCGCTGCAGAGGTGGCCACCTAGCATGGGCCAGGGGTAAGCAAAGACTGCAGAGCCACTCTCAGGCACAGGGGGTCCCCCTCCTCACTGCTTCCAAAAACCCAAGACGGTCTGGCCAGCAGGGGTCTTTGAAGTGTCTGGGAGGCCTTGCACTTTCCATCTCTGTGAGCCCAGCTTAGCCAAGACCCTGGGTAGGGAGCTGTGGGGGAACCACCCCAGTCTCAGTGGCTCTGAAGCTTGAAGCTGCACACGAACCCCTGCTTAGCCACGAACACACCGAAAGGTGCTGTGATGCTCACTCTGCTTACGCCACTCGGGTTGCCGGAAGTGGGGTGGAATTCTGCGGGAGAGGTGCCGATCTGCCTGTAGCTCATCATTTTACTCTTAGGGCTTGGAGGGGATGCTGCTGGCAGGAGTGTGGTGAAGAGTGCCACCGTACTGAAGTTTAGCTGACCGGACTGTAAATGCTGATAGACATAGACACACTGTGAAGATAGAATATTCCCTCTGACTTGCTGGGTCAAAGGAGGTCATCAGGGCACCTGTCTCTTTTCCATCATGACCTCTGCCTATGGATTTGCTGCCAGGGGCCCAGCATGAATAAAAAGGGGTTGGAGGCTGAGACTCGCTCGTATCTGGGAGCCTCCATCTGCTTGACCAGCCTGACCATGACAGCTGCTCCCAGAGCTTGCTGGAGCCTGTTATTTACAAAGCCTTTCTCCTTCAGTTCTCCCAACAACCTGGAGAGCCTGGCTGAGCGGGAATTAGCCCTATTCCATGGAAGAGGAAGCTGTGACTCACTGTGGTCACGGGATTTATTTTCCCTCCAAGGGGGAAAAAAAACCCTGGAAGGTGTGAGCGATGAGCCAGGGCAGGAATCCAGGCTTCGTGACCATGCCACCATCATCCTGCCCGCAGCAAGCCCATATGCTACTTTCCTGCTTAGAATCTCTGTCATCGTAAGGGTCTCATCAGTCCCCTAATCAGATGGACTTTAGGCCAGTGTCCCTGAAGTGTCTAGAAGGTGGGTCAGAGGTGACCAGGGCTCACCTGACAGGGTCACAGTCCAGTACAGGAGTGCTGGTGCTGAGGGAAGGGAATGACTGGTAGCAGGGCCAGGCAGAGGTGCCAGGGCCCTGCAGGAGGTCTCTGAAGCCCTCACTTGGGCATGTCTGGTCCAGCCTGTCCTGACTCCCCAGGATATCAGGGTTGGAGAGTGTGAAGGGGAGGAGCTAGCTTCCTGCCCCAGGAACCAGGGGGGTGCATTCCAAGACCCTGTGCCCAACATAAAGATGGGATCTCCGCTTGTCCTCAACTCTTCGGGATTCCTGTCCTAACATTGACCTTAGCCCAGGCTGAAATGAGTATCTGTGAATATACAGGAGCAAGGGGCAGCAAAGCCCAGGCCAGTGGCCTCTGTGCCCCTCTTCCCAGTGCCCGGCAGCTAGCGGTCTTTGTGCTGGCCAGCCTGGTGCTCATTTGGGGCTGAGTTTGGGGAGACCTGAGGAAGCAGGGGCCTGGTGCCTCTCCCTGCCCTACAGAATTGGCAGGCCAAGCCATCTGTTCCATAGGGTGGGTACAAATAGCTGTGATCCTCAGGGAACCTATTTGAGCAGGCTCACGGTCAGAGTGTACTTTAGGAGGGTCCTTAGCAGTCCTTGCTCTGCCCCCTGGGATATTCTTAAAATGCCTGAATTTTGGCCAGGTGTGGCCGCTCATGCCTGTAATCCCAGCACTTTGGGAGGCCAGGGGGGGTGGATTACCTGAGGCCGGGAGTTTGAGACCAGCCTGGGAAACATGGTGAAACCCCCGTCTCTAATAAAAATATAAAAATTAGCTGGGCATGATGGCACATGCCTGTAATCCCAGCTACTCGGGAGGTTGAGGCAGGAGAATAACTTGAACCCAGCCATCAGATGTTGCAGTGAGCCAAAATTGTGCCACTGCATTCCAGCCTGAGCAACAGAGAGAGATCATGTCTCAAAAAAAAAGTCTGCATTTTGTCACTTTGATGGCCACTGCAGGCATATCCTAAAACCGGGCCTGTGAACTCCACAGCCCTCTCACAGGACAGCCTGCCTGGGTGTGGGGGCTGGGAATGTGGTCAGGGCCCTGGCTCGTCGGGGGCTGTGTGGCCGGGACGCGCCATGGCTGTGCCTCTGAAGTGCATTAACTAGAATGTTGTCTCGTAAGGTTCTACAGGCGCGGCAGGGCCCCGGCTGTTCACCATCCACCTGATAGACGCAAACACAGACAACCTTCCGAAGGCCCATACCTGGTAAGCACTGCGGCTGGCAGGTCACTGACTCCTGGGGGCCTGTCCTGGAGGCTGCAGGCGGTCACATTAGTTTTGTTTTGAGACCGAGTCTCTGCCAAAATATTTTTGTCATCATCAGAACTCAAAAACCACAGCACCTGAGACAGAAGGAAAAATTCTACAGTTGAATGACAATTCTGAAGCCCTCAAGCAAGTGACTTTTTCCCCAACATGACAGCACTGTATACAGCGGCTTTACTGGCCACGTAACAAAATAGGTATAAGAGGGCCAAAATTATTGCTAAACTTGGTGGGGCGTGGTAGCTCACACCTGTAGTCCCAGCACTTTGGGAGGCCGAGGCGGGTGGATCACAAGGTAAGGAGTTCAAGACTAGCCTGTCCAACACGGTGAAACCCCATCTCTACTAAAAATATAAAAATTACCCAGGTGTGGTGGCACGTCCCTGTAATCCCAGCTACTTGGGAGGCTGAGGCAGGAGAACTACTTAATCCTGGGAGGCGGAGGTTGTGGTGAGCTGAGATCGTGCCATTGTACTACAGCCTGGGAAACAAGACAGAAACTCCGTCTCAAACAACAACATAAATCTACAGCATATGTAACCTAAAATTTAAATAGAGATTTTCTCTTGATTTAGTTTTTTGTTTGGTTTTTCGAGATGGAGTTTCACTCTTGTCACCCAGACTAGAGTGCTGTGGTGCAATCTCTACTCACTGCAACCTCCGCCTGCTGGGTTCAAGCAATTCTCATGCCTCAGCCTCCTGAATAGCTGTGATTACAGGTGCCCGGCACCACACCTACCTAGTTTTTGTGTTTTTAGTAGAGATGGGATTTCACCGTGTTAGTCAGGCTAGTCTGGAACTCCTGACCTCAGGTGATCCATCTACCTCAGCTTCCCCATGTGCTGAGATTACAGGCGTGAGCCTCTGCTCCTGGCCTCATGTTATTTTTTAAAGCTGCTTTCAGCTGGGCACAGTGGCTCAAGCCTGTAATCCCAGCACTTTGGGAGGCCGAGGCGGGTGGATCACAAGGTCAAGAGATCGAGGCCATCCTGGTCAACATGGTGAAACCCCGTCTCTACTAAAAATACAAAAAATTAGCTGGGCATGGTGGCACGTGCCTGTAATCCCAGCTACTCAGGAGGCTGAGGCAGGAGAATTGCCTGAACCCAGGAGGCGGAGGTTGTGGTGAGCCGAGATCGCGCCATTGCATTCCAGCCTGGGTAACAAGAGTGAAACTCCGTCTCAAAAAAAAAAAAAAAAAGCTGTTTTCTGATTTGTAGGACTGTGTTTCATTTATGCCAGGTCTCAGTGAGTGGCAGTAGGGCTGTATCAGATGGGACAAGTACCTTGCAGCATGCCACACAAAGGCTATCAGAGTCTAATTTTGTGATGAGCATGTAATTAACACTGGTGTTCAGGTGGAGCATGGCTACCACCCCAGCGTGCTCAAGTCTTCCTTTTTGCCAGGTCTTGTGCACATGTGTGTGTGTACATGCACCTGCTGGTAAGGAAAATTAGCCAGTGTTTCAGTTGGATGTATTAGTTTTCACTTTATCTGACATTTCTAGGTCCCCATCTTCTTGGAATCCTGCTTATGACAGATGCACCCTGTCTATTGACAAATGTTTTCTTCCTAAATTTTAACTTAAAAGTGACTCTCCATAGATTATTCCCTGTATGTTTTAAAAATCCAATCACTTGCACACACTTTGTTGAGACAAGCAGCTGCATCTCCTTGGGGGAACCAGGTCTAGATGCTGCTGAGATGCCCCATGAGGTGGTGGAAGGTTCCTGACTTGGAACCCAAGAATGCGGGATCAAATGTTGGCTGTGACACCCTGACCTGTGATTTGGGGCAAGTGGCTTCATATTTTTTTTTTTTTTTTTTTTTTTTTTGAGACGGAGTTTCGCTCTTGTTACCCAGGCTGGAGTGCAATGGCGCGATCTCGGCTCACCGCAACCTCCGCCTCCTGGGTTCAGGCAATTCTCCTGCCTCAGCCTCCTGAGTAGCTGGAATTACAGGCACGCACCACCATGCCCAGCTAACTTTTTGTATTTTTAGTAGAGACGGGGTTTCACCTTGTTGACCAGGATGGTCTCGATCTCTCGACCTCGTGATCCACCCACCTCGGCCTCCCAAAGTGCTGGGATTACAGGCTTGAGCCACCGCGCCCGGCCTAAGTGGCTTCATATTTTAACTTGGTTTTCCACATCTGTGAAATGGGGATTAATACAGCTGGTCCTGGACCGTGGTCGGTGCCAAGGCCCTGCTCCGAGATGGCTGTGCTGTCCCATTATGGGAACACACCACACTGGGTGGGCTTTTGTCCTTAGCAGTTTAGTGCTTGGAATAAGATGGATATGAAAAGTAGCCTCTGAAGCTTCAGAAAAAGGTGTGCCTGCCCTGGAACCTGGCTCTGTAGAGACAGAAACCGTCCCTAATTGCTCACCCCTAGGAAGTCAAGAAGTCACTCATTGTCCTCTGGGTCACAATTTTGTATTTTTTTGGTTTGCTTCTTAGAGGACATTGTTCTTTCCACAAATATTGGAAACCAGTTTCCCCTTGGAAATACAGAGTCAAAAGTTGAATATTCATTTCATCTTTTAAGGATTTGTCACCTTATTAGTTTTGGGATCTATTTTGTTTTTGCAGGGAATTTTCCAGACTGCCCCATTTTGGTCTCACATCAAATCCCAGAGGAACAGACAGACACACAGTACGTCATCAGTGATGACGTGCCTGACAGCCAGTCTGGGTTACAGGGGCTGCCAAGGAGCATTCCCAGCACAGAGAAGGAATTTCTCCCAAAGACAGGCAAACCAAAAACAAGTGGAAAGCACTGTCCTGATAGAAGCAGTAAATAATAATTTGGTTATGTTTTGGTTGTGAAGGCTGAAGACTTACTCTGCTGTGTGTTGACTGGGCACAGCGGTTCATGCCTGTAATCCCAGCGTGTTGGAAGGCCAAGGCAGGAGGATCACTTGAGGCCAGGAGTCTGAGAGCAGCCTGGGCAACCTAGTGCGACTCTATCTCTACTAAAAAGCAAAAACAAATGAAAAAATCTTTGTATTAGAAGCAGAAAAGCACAGAGGGAACACGGATAACTCATTGCCTCCCCCACCCCACCCCGATTCCTTTCCCCTTCCCAGGCACACGTCTTGCCACCTGTCCTTGGCCTTGAGGTTGGTCCTAGGGCTGGACTGCCCATGTGGCGACTCTTATTCTCTTGTCCTTTTTCAGCTTTAACCGGATCGACATTCCACCATATGAGTCCTATGAGAAGCTCTACGAGAAGCTGCTGACAGCTGTGGAGGAGACCTGCGGGTTTGCTGTGGAGTGAAGAACAACCAAAGGCAACAGAGTCTAGCTCATGGCCACCAGACCAAAAGCATCCAGCTTCTGTGCGCCTCCTGCAAAGCTGGCAGAGGCCCTGGAATTCCGGATCATCTAAGGGGAAAGGGTTATCTCTCTCCTTTCTGTTGCAGGAGGGGGATGGGGGACTTTTGTTGGTGGCTCCCACCCATACATCCCTCCTTATTATAGTACTCCCACCCACTTCCATCACCCATCCGATAAAATGCAGCCAGGGCCTTTGGCTTCGGTCACACAGGATATTCTGCTATGGTTGCAACCCATGTGGTGATTAGGCTCACGGCCCTGAGCTCTTTATAGGAGCATCAGCTCACAGTTGGGGGACTGAGCGTGGTTGACTGAGGGTTTGGAACTGGTGGTTGTCCCAGCTATTCCATCTCTAAACAAACAGCCTGGAGGCCCCTTTTCAATTTGAGCAGCTGCTAGATATCTTACCAGAGCTCAGATTACAAATTTCACATCCCAGCAGCCTGTTATGGGTAGCAGAAATTTCCAATTGAAAAATAACTATATAATAATGTATGCTTATTGGAATTCTGCCACAGCAGGAAGCTTGAATCAAAACGTGTTTCCCCTTTGAAAGGAGAAGAAATTGGAGCAGCTTTTCCTGGAGGCTCAGGATATTTCTTTTCTGGGTATCTTGGCTGAAAATTTTGTTTTACAAAACGAGAAAAATGATCTTTCAAGGGTTCCTTTTGCTGCATTATCTGTCCAGTTTGACTTTTTTTCAGTGAAAACACAAAGTCACAGAGTGTATAAAAGAACAGACCAAAACCAGCCCTAGAGCCAACTAGTCAGTCCCAAAGCTGTGAGCTCTGTGCCACTGTTGTCCATAGAAGCATCGCCTGTGTCACTGAAAATACTAGTGAACCACGATGCGGCAACTGCTAAGAGCTAAACTAACAAAATGGTGTTATCATGGCTGCTGGCTTGGTGTGAACTCGCTTAAAAGCAATGGGGAAAGGATAACCTCGAGGCGAATCCACCCAAAGATACTGTCTACAAAAGCAGGGTGTGGACGCAAACCTGTGACCACAGGGGTGGGGGTCGACTACACACTGCCTCATGCGGCCCCTTTCCCAGTGGCAGCCGGTGACGATTGCTACTCGGTTCGCTTGCCCAGATGTCTTCGTACGATGAGCAAGGCCAAAAGCAAGCCTAGACTCGAAGTTTCTGACACCATCTACAGTTTGCACAAAAGTCAAACAGTGTTTTATCTTAAAGTGGCTTGATGTCCAGTAGCTGAACTTTGGCAAAAAAACAGCAGCAACCAATGTTCCTGTATGGTTTCTTTGTTGTTGTTTTTGTTTGGGGGTGGGGGCAAGTACAGGGTAATTCATTAGCAAGACATTTCACTGCTGTCGAAGTCTCTGGGATCCCGTTGTGGGTCTGAGATAGCCTGGGAAGGACCTTGCAGATGACTGTTTTATCTGTTCTTTTTGTCACTGTTACCTTCTGGGCTGCTGAGGTTCTAGAATGGAAGGGCTGCCAAATGAGGTTTGCTGCAGGAGGAAAGTTTAATCCCTTATGCCAAAAGTCCAGGCCAAATGGTGGGCTTAGCCTCTTTCAAAAGTTCTGCCTTGCCCCAGGTGGGCCTATCCTGTGTCTCATTCACCATGATGCTTCCTGAGGGCGTTCTAGAAGCCCATTCCCCAGTGGCTCTATCCAGCCTTTCCTTGCATCTTCTTCTTGAAGGCGAGGAAGTGAAAACTACAGACCTCCCCCGGAGAGCCCACTCTATCTTGAGCCTAACTCGCGGGAGGCGGGAGAGACATCCATCCAAGAACTGAAGCAGCCTCCGGGATGAGGTCAGAAGTACCACCTGATTTTCCTGGTGGTGGTATCCAAAATCTGCAGTAATTAGGAAGGAAACCAGGGTCTTGTGGTTTAAAAGACTTTGAAGCAGGAATGTTGCATCTGACGCCTTTAAAACTACCTTTTTGCTGTTGGGAGGAGTCAGAGGCGAGCCTTAGCAGCTGTACCCGCCAGCCCCAGGCTGGTCAGTGCTGCCCTGCCTTTCGTGCCGCGTGTCGCTTCAGCCCAGAGCCAGAGGGCTGTGTCCTCCACCGGTGGCCCCGGCGGACACATGCGTTCCCATGCGTTCCCGTCCCCAGCCCAGCCCGTCTCTGCTTTTCCACTTCCACCTGCGTGTGGGTTTGCGCCTTGTCATCGGTCGTGTGAGTGTCGCAGACCTTTCCAGAGCTCCAGCTCACTCCTTCCAAACAGGCCTCCCTGTCAGTGGCACTGCACACCTAGAACCTTCAGTTTCCATGACGGTTGGTTTAGTCCTTTTGAACCACCCCCAAGAACTCAATATGGTAAGCAAACGGTAAAAGCTCCCGACTGTTCTACTTTGGGTCTGCGCAAAGCCCGTTCATATGTGATCTCTGCGTCGCCCTTCTCAGTGGTCCCAGGCGATCCAGCCATGCCCCCCGCCCCTCTGCCCACATGCTTCAGGGGCCCAACCTTTCAGGCTTGCCCTCACCAGCGGCCATCAGCCGACACTCAGGGATGCAGCAAACACCACTCCACCAGTGCTTTCAGCAGGAAGAGCCGAGGCTGCCTGGGAGGCCCTGGGCGATGGGAAAAGGGCTCTCTCAAATTCTGAAAAGAGAATCTGCCCCCCAGATCGAATTCCGACCCCTAACTTGTTCGGCCATATGGGTCGAATTCAGATTAGGTGGGTCACCCAATCTGAGATGTCAGGAAAGGCCTTCTGCAGAGAAAATGTCTCCCCCACCCCGCCATCTGCAGCCAGGTGTGTGCCGCACGGCAGCCTTCCCAAAACACAGTATGGATTTTAAAAATTTGTTTATTTTTGTTTCTCAACCACTTTATAATGTATTTTTAATTTATTTTGTAACGTCTTGTTTTTAAGTATTGCTGCTATCCTTCCCACTGTTTTTATCGCTGATTTATTTTGTGAAAGTTGTACACTAATGTTCTGTTTTATGTCAAAATCAAAAGTATTTAATGATATACTAGTTCTATTTAATGTGGTTATGGAACCAGCTGGAAACACAAAACAAACAGTGATTGTACAGCAGGCTGGACCCAGGAGGTCAGGTTCATTTTGTTACATATGCAATAAACTCACGACTTTACATTTTTGGCGTCTGTTACTTTGGTGTGGAAATGAGATTCCAATATCTTTGCAACCCCACAAGAAAGGAAGTGTGTAGGCAGGAGTGCTGGCAATAAGGACAGACTCGTCGGGGAACTGACAGCGCTACGGCGATCGGTTAAAAGCGCTCTATCAGGCAAAAACATGGAGTTGAGAAAGGTTAGAATTTCTTTGCACACTTTTCCCCCCCTTTTTTCCTTTAAAACAATTGTAGTAAAAGCTGGGTGCAGTGGCTCACGCCTGTAATCCAGCACTTTGGGAGGCTCAGGCTGGCGGATCACGAGGTCAGGAGATTGAGACCAGCCTGGCCAACATGGTGAAACCCCATCTCTACTAAAAATACAGAAATTAGCTGGGCATGGTGGCGTGTGCCTGTAGTCCCAGCTATTCGGGAGGCTGAGGCAGAAGAATCGCTTGAACCCAGGAGGCAGAGGTTGCAGTGAGCCAAGATCGCATGACTGTACTCCACCTTGGTGACAGAGTGAGACTCCATCTCAAATAAATAAATGAACAAATAATGCAATTGTAGTAAAGTACTGTCAGCCCTACATATTTGTGGATTCCACATCCATGGATTCAACCGGGGATCAAAAATATTCTTTTTGGCTGGGTGTGGTGGCTCCTGCAATCCTACTTTGGGAGGCCAAGGTAGGTAGATCACATGATGTCAGGAGTTGGAGACCAGTCTCAGCTTCTTGGGAGGCTGAGGCATAAGAACTGCTTGAACCTGGGAGGTGAAGTTTGCAGTGAGCCGAAATCGCACTACTGCACTCCAGCCTGGGTGACACAGCGAGACTCCAGCTCAAAAAAAAAATTAAAAAAAAAAAAAAAAAAAATATATATATATATATACACACACACACACACACACACACACACACACACACACACACACACTTGCATCAGAACATGCATAGATTTTTCATTATTCCCTAAACCATACAGAATAAAAACTCTTTACAAGGCCTTTATGCTGTATTAGGAATTATAAGCAATCTAGAGATGTTTTAAAATACACAGGAGGATGTGCATGAGGATGACTCTTACTTGTTTAAGACAGAGTCTGTCACCCAGGTTACAGTGCAGTGATACAATCCTGGCTCACTGCAACCTTCGCCTCCTGGGTTCAAGTGATTCTTCTGCTTTGGCCTCCGAGTAGCTGGGACTACAGGAGTATGCCACCATGCCCAGCTAATTTTTGTATTTTCAGTAAAGATAGGGTTTCGCCATGTTGACCAGGCTGGTCTTGAACTCCTCCACCCACCTGACATTCCAGAGCGCTGGGATTACAGGTGTGAGCCACCACACCTGGCATTATTGACATCTTAACAAAGTTACGTCTTCCAATCTATGAACATGGGATGTCTTTTCAATTTACTTAAGTTTTAACTTATTTACACAATATTTGGTTTTCAGCAGACAAATGGCAAGTCTTTCACCTGCTTGGTTAGATTTATTCTTTTAGATGCTATTATAAACATAATTGCTTTAAGTTATTTTGTGTATCATTTGTGGCTGGTATATAGAAACATAACTGCATTTGTGGGTCAATCTTGTACCCTAAAACTTGGCAAAAATTGATTTCCTAGCTCTAGTGGCTTTCTTGTGAATTCTCTGTCATTTTCTATTTGTAGGAGATAGCTCTGCCTGTTCCTTCCAATCCGGATGCCTCCAATTTCTTATCTATTCGCTCTGGCTTATACTTTCCTGCAGAATGTTGAACAGCTGTGGTAAAAGTGGGAATTTTTGTCTTGTTCCTGATCTCAGGGGAAATGCTTACATATATAGTACAATGCCCTTCTGTATCAGTTGAGATGTACATGTTTTTTTCCCTCTGTTCTATTAATGTGATGTGCTACACACTGATTGATTTTCTTATGTTGAGCCACCCTTCTCTTCCTGAGATAAATTCCACTTGGCTGTGGTAAATAATCCTTTTATTATGCTCTTGGGGCCAGGCACGGTGGCTCACGCATGTAATCCCAGAACTTTCGGAGGCCAAGGTGGTCAGGAGTTCGAGATCAGCCTGGCCGACATAGTGAAACCCTGTCTCTACTAAAAATACAAAAATCAGCTGGGTGTGGTGGTAGGCGCCTGTAGTCCCAGCTACTCAGGACGCCGAGGCAAGAGAATCGCTTCAACCTGGGAGGTTGCAGTGAGCCAAGAGCACCACTGTATTCCAGCCTGGGTGACAGAGTGAGATTCCATCTCAAAAAAAGGAAAAAGCTGTTGGATTCAATTTGCTAATACTTGGTTGAGGACTTTTACATCTGTATTCATAAGGGATATTGATCTAGAGTTTTCTTGTAGTGTTTTTGTCTGGGTTTCAAATCACAGTAATGCTAGCCTCATAGAATAAGTTAGGAAGCATTATTTCCTTTTCAACTATTTGGAAGGGTTTGCGAAAGACTAGTATTGATGGAATTCACCAATGAAGACATCTGGTCTTGAGCTTTTCTTCATTGGGCCATTTTTGATTTTTGATTCAATCTTCTTACTAGTTACCAGTCTATTCAGATTTTCTGTTTCTTCATGATTCGGTCTTGGTAGGTTGTAGATTTCTAGGAATCTATCCATTCCAACTAGGTTATTCAATTTGTTGGCATACAGTTGTTCAAAATACACTAATAATACTTTATATTTCTGTAAAATTGGTCATCATGTCCCCTCTTTTCTGATTTTAGTTGATCTTTCTTAATCATCTAAAGTTGTCAATTTTGTTGATCTTCTTTGAAGAACCAACTCAGCTTCATTGATCTTTATCATTTGTCTAACCTTTCTTCTGCTATAATATTCATTTTCTTACTGCTGTTAGCTTTGGATTTAGTTTTTTCTTTCTAGTTCCTTAAGGTATAATGTAGGTTGTTCATTTTTAACCTTCTTTTTAATATAAATATTTACAGCTTTAAGTTTCCTTGGTCATGGTGAATAATCCTTCTTAGCACTGCTTTCACTACATTCCGTAAATTTTGGTATGTTGTTTTCATTTTCATTTGTCTCAAGATATTTTCTAATTTCCCTTGTGATTTATTCTTTGACCCACTGGTTGTTTGTTTAAAAGCATCTTGTTTCATTTCCACATGTTTGTGAATTTCCCAGTTTCCTTCTGTTACTGATTTCTAGCTTCATTCCATTGTGGTCAGAGAAAATACTTTGTATGACTTCAGTCTTAAATGTATTAAGACTTGTTTTATGATCTCTCTGGAGACAGTCCGTTCTGGAGAATGTTCCATGTGCATTTGAGAAGAACATGTATTCTGCTTTTGCTGGGCAAAATGTTTTGTATATATCTGTTCAGTCCAGTTGATCTATAGTGTTGTTCAAAAGTCCTATATTTCCTTATTGATCCTCTGTCTAGTTATTCTATTAATAATTTATCAAAAGTGGGGTATTGGGCTAGGCGCAGTGGCTCATGCCTGTAATCTCCACACTTTGGGAGGCTGAAGTGGGTGGTTCACTTGAGGTCAAGAGCTTGAGACCAGCCTGCCTAACATGGCGAAACCTGTCTCTAATATACAAAAATTAGCCAGGTGTGGTGGCGCATGCCTGCAATCAGCTACTCTGGAGGCTGAGGCAGGAGAATCGCTTGAACCCAGGAGGCAGAGGTTGCAGTGAGCTGAGATTGTATCACTGCACTCCAGCCTGGGTGACAGAGCAAGACTCCATCTCAAACAGACAGACACAAAAAAGTTGAGTACTGAAGCTTTGTACTATTAAAATGCAGCTATTTCACCCTTCACCTTTGTTAGTGTTTGCTTGAGTCTCTCTGGGTTTGTCCTAGTTGGAAAATTGTTGAGCTTCCCAAGTCTGTATGTCCATTTCTTTCTTCCAAGCTGGGAAAGTTTTGTCCATTATTTTTTCAAATAAGCTCTGTCCCCTTCCTGTCTCTCTTCTCTTTCTAGAACTTCCATAATGCCTAAATTGGACATCTTGATGTGTCCCATAAATCCCCTGGGCGCTTCGTATTTTCTTTTTGCTCCTGCAGTTCAGTGATTTCAAATGATCAGTTTTCTAAGGTCTCTGATTCTTTTGCCTGTTTGAGTTGGCTGTTGAACCCCTGTATTGAATACTTCATTTACTGTATTTTTCAGCTTCAGAATTTGCTTCTTTTAAATAATTTCTATTTGTTGTTGATATTCTCGTTTTGTTCATACATCTCTGTCCTGATCTCCTTCAGTTCTTCGTCACGTTCTCCCTTAGATCTCGGAGCATATGAAAGACAACTGTTTTAAAGTCTTTTCTCACAAGTCTGATGCCTTTGTTTCTTCAGGGATGGTTTCTAGAGATACATTTTGTTCCTTTGAATGGGACATGTTTTCCTGTTTCTTTCTTTTTTATTCCTTGCGATTTTTTTTTTTTTTAAACTGGGCATTTGCAAAAGCAGTCATCTCTTCCAGTCTCTGAAGACTGGTAAGGAAAACCTTCACTAATTCAGAGGGTATATCCTAATATTTGGTATCAGCCCAAGGTGACAGCTTAAGGTCATTTCAGGTCTTTCTGGGGCCTCCATTTTTCTTTGGCTTTTACCATATACATGGATGCTTTTAAAAGTCTTAATTTCTCAAAGGGTCTTAACCCAGCTGCTTCTAAGGATTAAGATGTTCTCTTATATTATTCTGCCCATAATCTCTTGTGCCAGGTATCCACTGTAGTCCCCCTGGCAGCTTTTACATGTCATGCCTGCTACTGCCTTTCATGGCTCTTGATCTGAACTGTTACCTTCCCTGTTTAACCTCTGAGTCAGGTTGTAATCCCAGCACTTTGGGAGGCCGAGGCGTGTGGATCATGAGGTCAAGAGATCGAGATCATCCTGGCCAACATGGTGAAACCCTGTCTCTACTAAAAGTACAAAAAATTAGCTGGGCATGGTGGCATGTACCTGTAATCCCAGCTACTTGGGAGGCTGAGGCAGAAGAATCACTTGAACCCAGGAGGCAGAAGTTGGAATGAGTGGAGATCACACCAGTGCACTCCGGCCTGGGCAA